GGAATATAATTTAAAAATTCATGAACATCCACAAATACTGATGATTTCACCAATACAAAACTGATATGGACAACAATCACAAAGGAATTATTATTATTATTATTTTCTCCAAGGAACATGAGATGGCATACATCATTTCCCAACTCCACATTTAGTACCCACAAAAACCCTGTGAAATAGGTTACGCTGAGAGACGGGGATTGGCCCAAGGTCACCCGATGAGCTTTATGACTGCGTGGGGATTCAAATCTTGTTTTCCTAGGTCATAAGCCTCAATGAGGTGTTTCCAGCATTACAACTCCAGCATCCATCTGAGTTAGACAATACCTTCTTGTAGGGGCATTATGGAGTCCAGTACAGACGACCCGTTTTAGCTTGCCAGAGTAGATGTGGAACAAGGGTGGCATAGAGCAGGGTGTTTCAATTGCATGCAATTACACACAAGCACACAATTACCTGGAAAACAATCCCCACACAAAATTGGGAGTTGCCTGTACATCCAAAATATTTTTATTTTTATTTTTTTGCTGAATCAGTCTCAATTTTAGAACTGAAGAAACATTTTTTATAGATTCTAAACTGAATTCCAATTGTTTAGGATGTTCATTGTAAACAAATGCAAAATGGTGCATGTTGGGGCAATTTATTTTCTTAATTTCACATAAACACTTCCTGAAATTCTTTTAAGTGGACATGCCAGGGATTGAACATGGATGCAGTGCTGGATTTATGTATAGGCTAAGTAGGCTGAAGCCTAGGGCCTCTAAATCTAGGGGGCCTCGCCAGCCTACCCGCTCCCCAGCTCGCAGTCCTCCCTCTCCCAAAATTGCAAACCCAAGACTTCATGCAAGGGCAGGGCAACTCAAGCCCAGCAACTATGAGACTCAGGGCTAGCCAGTGGGGCTCAATTTGAAGCAGTGGGGCACAGAGCAACTTGCTGGAATTAACAAATAAGAAAGTTTTCAGAATTTAAATTCTAGATTAAAATTGATTACTTCATTGAGAAGGGGATTGTAAGAAAAACACTGGGGCCTACTTTGAATAGTAGCGTGCCTGGTATCTGGTGGGCAATCTCATCCTTTATTTCCACACTGTGGGTGCAGAACAAATCACCTGTCAGGAGAGTTATGACATTCAGGTGAGGGTCAGATGCCTTGTCAATCCCAGCAGGAATATAAAAGGATGACTGCCCTGGCCAGGCCTTCGCCTGTGCTTTTTTTAAGAATAGCATTACAACTTCATTTTCCAAAAAAATAATGCTTATTCCACAAAAGGTTTACAATGTTGAATTCTTGCAAAAGTTTTTCAGTGTTAATTTTATGCACTTTTTAAAAATCACCATGGTATTTACCAGTAATATCTTATGTTGTTTAGAGGAGAAATTCTGATTTTTTTAATGTTCAAGTTATGATTCCTTTCTTAAATTACTCCCATTGTGTAAAGAATAGTTTTAGGACACATTATTAAAGCTAAGCATTCCTAAGCATTACTAGAATTCCTGCATACATAGTGGTCCCATGAGCGCTACACGTGGGGAAGGTTACTTCCACTGTCCCTATTTTGTGGGCACATTTCAATCACATAACAGCAATTTAAAATTGTACAATTAAAGCAAAGTTGGTGTTCCTTTATCTTCCTTCCTTCCTTTATTTATTTGACTTGTTAATTTCTTGTTACCCAAAGGTCTCTAAGTACACATACAAGCATTTTAAATACACACACTGTATCAAATTTGAGGTGGATTTTTAAGTAGAACAAAATGATGGCTTACACATTCAGTTTACCGCTGTTCAAAATGATGCACACTCATCTGACAACTATTTTCATTTATTCTGATCGTTAAAAGACTGGATCTGTCATGAAGCTGGTGAACTTCCTAAAACCTTTCCACATGGCTTCCTTCACTTCCTTATTTCTCAGGCTGTATATGAGGGGATTGACCATGGGGGTCAGGACTGTATAGAAAAGAGAGAAGATTTTCTTCACATATCTGAGATCCCTGGACCGTGGGAGCATATAGACAAGCATCAGCGTTCCATAAAAGAGAGCCACCACAGTGAGGTGGGATGAGCAAGTGGAGAAGGCCTTTTGCCTCCCAGTAGCGGAAGGGATTCGTAGGATTGTGACGATGATGAAAATGTAAGATGTTAATGTGAGTAGAAATGGAGGCAGTGTGAAGGCACAGGCAAAGATGAATGCGGTCATTTCTACAACATATGTGTCGCTGCATGAAATTTCTTTGATGACTGGGGACAAATCACAGAGGTAATGATCAATTTCATTAGGGCCACAGAAGGACAATGAAGACACTGAAAGGGTTGTACTTGTGCTCACCAAAACTCCACTTGCCCAAGACACGGCTGCCAGCTGTAGACATAATCTACCAATCATGAGACTGACATAGTGCAATGGTTTACATACAGCTAGGTACCTATCGTAAGACATTACAGACAGGAAGTAGCATTCAGCACCTCCGAGGCAAGCAAATATATAAAACTGCACGAAGCAGGCTTTTATGGATATATTTTTTTCCCCAGTCAAGAGACTTGATAATATTCTAGGCAGGATTGCTGAGCTGTAGCAACATTCCAAGAAAGAGAGGTTCCCTAGAAAGAAATACATGGGGGTGTGAAGATGTCGATCAGTCACAACCAACAAAACAATGAGGAGGTTCCCAGCCATGGTCACCAAGTAGATCACTAGGAAGAGTAAGAAAAGAAGAAATTCCAATTTATTAAGGTCTCCAAATCCTAAGAGTATGAACTCAGCAATAGTTGTTTGATTTTGCTTCTCTCTCTTTGCCAATGGCATCATCTGGAGAAAATTGAACACAAAATATTTAACATTATTTCATTATACCAGACTCATTCTCATATCCTTAAACTCTGAAGCTATTATCTCTCCAAAGGTTGAACATCAAGACCTTTTCTTTACTCGGTAGTAACATGTTAATGACAAGTCACTGTGAACTTTCAGTATTTCGCAAACTAAAGTTTTGATTGATTGATTGATTGATTGATTGTCTTCTGCTATCTGCTGCCTGTGACATGTCCCATGAAACCTCACTACAGATGCGAGAAAATCCAACTTTGCTGATATTAGCAGGGATCTTACAGTGGGACGTATGAATATAGAGGAGAACCAGGCTCTTTGTTTTCATTACATCAGTCTTTATCATCAAATAGATTATCTCTTCAAGAGCACAGGGAACTGCTGCCTGGGGATGCTTGAGAAATGCAACTTTTGTGAATTCTGATTAAAAAAAACTAAGCAGATCCACACAGCCCAGACTAATTTATTTGCTGGGGTTTAGTAATCCACTTGGTTTCATACTTCCTGAATGTTCAACTCATTTGAAAAGTGTGTCAACATCTATTTTAAATATGTATTTATAGAGAAAACACATTTGAAAATACATATTAAATGCAATTTTCATGTGGCTATTAATATAGGAGAGCACATGTAAAACTGACAGAGACAAAATGTAGACTTATTTATCCAGCTATATCCCTGCTGCTGCTAGAGACACAGAAAGCAATGGATGTTGCATGTGCAATTCTGCCAACAAATTTCCCTTTGTAGGCTTCCAGTCCAAGAAGCCCGGAATACACCATCAACTCAGTGTTGTGAATGGTCCGTTCAGTTTGGGGAAATATTAGAAATCAAAGTGACTATGAAACAAAATGCTGCAGTGCTGTTTTCATATATAGTTGGATGGTTGGTTGGAATGCTGCACTCCTCCAAGTTATTTCATTTCCATCTCGCTCCCCCATGGTGTCCTATTTCTGGACTACTAACCATCCTTGGGGGTTTTGTTTTTTGGTCTGTTTAAGGTCTTCTCATTCAGGGTCTCCACTCCCTTCCTACAGTGTTGTTTTGTATTTCTGCGAATCTTCAGACTTTTACAAGCCTGCTGATCCCTCCCTCTGCATAAGTGAAACCAGGTTGACTAAATAAGGACCTGAACTCAGAAATCACTATATTGTGGTGTGTAACACCACAACAGCTACAACAGCTAGAATAATAATGTATAAATCTATGATACAGTCATTGTAAGGAAAACTGCAAAGTTCTGGTTTAGTTACCTAATTGGGATTAGTGTGGAGGTATAGAAAAACTGTGAATGGTACAGAGAAATAAATAGACAGAATATTTCCCCACTTTATCTCTAATTTGTTTAAGGATATTTTTTAATTCCATGTTTTTAAGTGAACCAAGCTGATTGGCACTTTTGGGACTAATGAACAGTTTAGAACTCGGTTATTTGTCAGTTTTCACAATTCTCTGAATTTTGTGATACACATCTTTGCTCAAAATGCATACAATCTAAAATTAAAATATGTACAAAATATGTCTTTTAGGATACAGTGTGTTCAGAAATGCATTTTTTATGGGAAATACTTTAAAATGTGAAATTTTGTGCAGTTGACAACTGCACATTGATATGGAAACAGGATGGAATGGATGCATGACTGAACACATGCAAAACTAATGCGGAGAGAAAATAGTTTGATTCTTCCATCTATATGTATATAACATTAAAATTCAGGGTCATCTAATTAAATTGATTAGCAGTACATTCATGGCAGACAAAAAAAAAAAAAGCTCCACTGCAGAAAACAAATTATTAATTCATGGAATATGCTGCTACAATGTATGCTGATGGCCACTTACTTAGGCTGCTTTAAAAAGACATCAAGCAAATTCTTATAGAACAAGGAAGGGGAACGTCTTTCAGCCTGGTCACATTTTCTCCACGTGTCACATACAAATGGCAAAAGTAGGAAGGACAGCAGATGTGTCTTTTTTCTTTGTACAACTGGTTTTACTCTAAGCTATGTACAGCCTAGCGAGAGATGGTATGGCTTGAACCAAGGCTAAGGGCTAGGTGGAAATCTCTGGAAGGCTGCATTTAGCCTCCAGGCTTGAGGTTCCCCTACTGAGATAGTTAGTCAGGGAAAGTGTAAGAGAAGTACCCACGTATGAAACTTTTTTTTTTTACCTTAATGTTGAATTTATATCATGACAGAAGGATTTATTCTGTATCTCAAGGCTGCATTGTATTCTTCTGTTCTCTATAGAAACACTCATGACTTGTTTGATCTTGCTCGAAATTAACCTTCATTGATTCAGTGTAACTTACTTCCAGGACTGCAGTCATTATCTCTCATATCACCGCAGTATATGAGCCCAATAATACTGTATATAAATTGATTCTGATATAGTCCTTAACATTCCTTTCCCCTTCTGTCTTCCCACACTATTCTGCAGAGTTTTGCTTTGGTAGCTGTGATGTCTATGTAGTGTCACAATATGTTGAATGTCTCCATTGGGTGGTTATTTATGAACCACACAGAAAAAGAATATCCCTTGACTATTCTGTTAATAGGTATATCAGTCTACAGAGGATAATATTTTCAGAAGGAAATTTTGCATTATCTGACGCAGAGATACATGTGTAATATATGTGATACTCTAAAACACTGTAGAAACAAATGGGGACTCAACAGCTGTAAACAAAAGAAAAGAAAAAGAAAAGAAAAACCATAAAGAGCTGTTTAGGAAAAAATGAAATATTTTATTCCCCCCCCCCCCCCAGTTTCCCTTATATAATTATTCTCAGCTGATGTGATCTCCTTCGGTAGTTTTCAGTGGTTTGAGACAGGGCCCTTTGGATGCTTGCTTAATTTAAATAATGCATCTAACTATGAAGAAAGGCTTCAGTTCATTGGTCTGCCCACCTATATTGAGTTAAGAGAACAGCTAATGTGGAATTTAGAGTGAAACTGAGGATTCTGTCCTCATGGATCTGGTGTTACTTTTGGCATCAAAGCTAGCCTGGTGTCTTATTTATCAGTTTTGTTTGATACGTGAGCTAGAATCCTTTTTTTAAAGAGGGGAGCATGCACCTACTTAAGTAACCTCTGGCTCTAAGTGGATGCTGTGGCCCACCTCTTAGGTGGCGTGAAATGTGGGAACATATACAACTAATTGTATGCAGCCACACAGGATACCAAATGATTCTAAGAACAGTTCAAGATGCCCGTTTTTGAACTACAAAATCACCTTTGACCTGCAGTGAAGAGACTATCTCACCCTGGAGCACTCTGTCTATATTAAACTATGAAGATAATGAAGAGAAATATTAACCCTTGGGCCACTTCCCCATAAATAAATCCATCAATAAAAGAGCAAATAAGGTTTTCATTTTAGTCATAAATTTTAATAGATGATTGCAGTTGGGGGAAGACAAGCAGGAAATAAATGTGTCTGCATGTTGCAGAAATCAATCGCAGGGATATCAAATATGAAAAAGTGGAAACATCTATCCAACGGATACAATTTATTCACACCGTAATTGATTCTCCAGTTCCATTACAACTTAAAAAATGGTTTTCTAAAAAGTTGAATAGGCTGTGAACTTCCTAATAACTCTTTGTAATGCCTCCTTCACCTCTTTGTTTCTCAAGCTGTATATCAAGGGATTGACCATGGGAGTTAGGACAGTATAGAAGAGAGAAAATATTTTCTTCGTGTATCTGAGTTTCCTTGATCCTGGGAGCATATAAACTAGCATCAGCGTTCCATAAAAGAGGGCCACCACCGTGAGGTGAGATGAGCAGGTGGAGAAGGCCTTTTGTCTTCCAGTGGTAGATGGGATTTTGAGGATTGTAGCAATGATGTAAGCATAGGAGGCCATTGTGAGAACAAAGGGTGGCAGGGTGAAAATGCAAACAAATATGAAGGCAGACAATTCTACTAAGTATGTGTCAGTGCAAGAAATCTGTTTTATGTCTGGTATGACATCACAGAAGTAATGATCAATGATGTTGGGGCCACAGAAGGATAACTGTGATACCCTAACAGTTATGCCTGTGCCAACCACGAGTCCACTTACCCAAGATCCAGCTGCCAACTGTAGGCACAGCCTACTGTTCATGAGAGTGGCATAATGTAATGGTCTGCACACTGCTAAGTACCTGTCATAAGACATCACAGACAAGAGGTAGCATTCAGAACCTCCCAAGCAAGAAAATATAAAAAATTGTGTGAAGCAGGCTTTTATAGATATAGTTCTTTCTCCGGTCAGAAGTACAGTCAACATCTTGGGCAGAATTGTTGAGCTGTAGCAGGATTCAAGAAAGGAGAGGTTCCCTAGGAAGAAGTACATGGGAGTGTGGAGATGTTGGGCAGCCATAACCAAAAAAACAATGAGGAGATTCCCAGCCATGGTGGCCAAGTAGATCGTTAAGAAGAGCATGAAGAGAACAACCTGCAGGTTGAGGAGATCTCCAAATCCCAAGAGTATGAATTCAGAAACAGTTGTTTGATTTTGTCCCTCTCTGCTTGCCACGGGCTGCATCTGGAGAAAACAGAATGCACCACTTACAACTGCAAGTTGGTGTGTTGTCTTGCAAATCAACATTTTAAACCAGAGGAAACTCTCCACAACACTGTTCACTCATCCTTTTAGTGGAAGTGGTTTTGCACTTCCTCGACTCATTTTGGGCAAAGGAAGATGGGAACACATGGAGCTAGCCTCCTGACGCTCTGGAAACTTGACCAATAGGGAAGGCCAGGATGAATGCCTTTAAAATGCCTGTCACCACATAGCTTATTTCAGGCCACCACAGCATCCCTCCCAGCTAGCCTTTCATATGCAGCCACCTTTCTTAGGGTTGAGTAGAAAATGTTTGGCTGTTCTCCAACTGGCTTTGAGTTAATCTCCACTTTTCTGCATAATGAGTATGACAAATTTGTGTTTTGACTTATTGATTGTGTTAATTTCTTGTTTGCAACATGGAGATAGTGTGAGGGCTGCATACACTGCATATATTTAAAGTACACGCAGACCCATGGAAACATCTGGAGAGACTTATTGGACTAGATACTTTAATATACATCATGGATTTGTTCTTATTATTTCTGACTTGAGTTGTACCATTTCCTAAGAAATGACAGGCCAACTGCTATAGTTGCTTACTGCATTTTAAATTATGTTTATTGCATGTGGTGAAAAAATATGATATTTTTGAAGCACACTCAAAGGAATCCTCGGAACACAGCTACAATTCCCAGCACCCTTGACAATCAGTTTCCAGTTTTTGTGTTTTGAGGGGGTGATGGGCTCTAAATGAATGCAGTCTTAGACTTTAACCGAGGAGCCAAGATAAAGTCTATCGGTAACAAAAGTGGTTGAAAACAATGATAATTAATTATGCATTCTATTGGTTTTTAATGGACAGTAGAAAGAAAATTAAGGCCACAATCCACACCCACTTACCTGAGACTAAGGCCCATATACTTTAGAGTTAACATGGTTAGAATTGCAGCTTTATTGCATGCAGGTGGCATCTAGCCACAAAAACTTACACAAAATCAACAAACACTTAAGAAAAAAGCAAAGCGATGAGGCACCTATCAGAACACTGGGAATTACACATCAATGTCTTTCTAAACAATGCACATTGCAAAGTAATTTTTTAATCTATTTACATATAATGTGTTCATGTAATCTCCCCCCTTTTTGTGACAGATAACTAAGGCAAAAAGCATTCATAGCAAAAAGAAAATCCACTTAATATCAACTTTTCAGTTGAGTCCTCTAACTTATTTAGTTATAAGATCTTACAGGTATACGGCATGATGACCATCCTAGAAAACAGCCATTGCATTCTGGGATTGCACAAAATTTTTGAATCACTTACTCTATGTCCTCTCTGTATCCCTCTATTAGAAACCTTCTTACCCTGCTGCTTCTTTCAAATAGTCCTGCCTTGTTGCTTGCAAATTCATCAGTCCATAATGAGATGATCTCTATAGAATTATTATTTATAATCTACCCAGCAAGGTAGAAAAAGTCCCTTGGCAGTTCTGATAACAAGTGATATTAATGCATGGCTAAAGCAAAGGAACAAAAGGAATCAAGAGTTTCAGAGAAGAGTAAACCCATGTTACCTCGACAACAGAAACCTCCATGATTCTCGTTAGTGGCACCCAGGGGTGGAGGAAGGTGGGTGCAGTGGAGGTGGGCCGCCCTGGGTGTCACCACTGAGAGGGGTGACAAAATGCTGGGCGGCACTCACTGCGAGGCCTGAGCCACGTGTCTCTCCTGGGAGTGACTCGGTAGCTTGGGTGCCAGCAGGCTCTGTGCTGCCCCATACAGTCCACCCAGTGCCTCCCTCCCTAGCTGTAGGGTGGCTGAGTGGGAGGAGGCAGGCAGACTCCTCGGAGGCCCCGTGGAGCATCCTGCCCCAGCTCGCCCACCCTGTGGGTGGCTGGCTCCGCCCCTGGGCACACACGCTGCCCCAGGCACCCGATCTCCTTGCTCCACTGCTGGTGGCACCCTTCCCCTTCAGATGTCAAGGAAATAACTACATAACTTGTAGAAGTCATACAAGGGCAGCCCTGTATTGGGAAGTTTTTAATGTTTGATGTTTTACACTATGTTTCATATATACTGTAAGCCACCCAGAGTGGCTGGGGAAACCCAGCCAGATGGGTGGAGTATAAATAATGATGATGATTATGATGATGTCACAAAGACAAGTTTGAAATGGATGGTTATAATTCAGTTCTTGTTTGTGTATTTCAATTAATTATACTCATATATCTTTACTCTTTTCAATGAAATCCACTTAAATACCCAAGGTTAATGCTGACAAATATACTGTATATTGGATTAAAAGTACATTTCATTTTCCTTCTGAGCGTGGACAAAAATATCTTATAGCACAGTAGACAATACTATTAAAATACTTGTTCTGCAGCTTTAAAATGCCCTGTCAAAAGAAAGGAACTTGGTGACATATTTCTGCCACACATGTTAAAACTGACATATGGGGCGGGGGTGGGGTGGGGATTTTTGCACCCACTGCATTCAATGTAGCTTCTGAACAAAAGCCCAACAAGTATAATGTGTTTGTGCATTGGTCCATTTGCACAGCCAGGCACTTGTCACACTTATGGAGCCTAAATCTAATGAATATAGGTTGTTCCAGAAATTATGCTAAATGCATGTGATGGAATAAATGATAATGGGTGATTAACCATTACATGTAGTCATCATAACATTTGTAAAGGGCCATTAGACGATAGCAAAATAACCATCGTTTCACAAGACTAATTGTTTTTAGTCTGGAGCTTGGAACTGAGTGTTGTTGAATCTCACGATAAAGAAAGGCTTCAGTTCATTGGCCTGCCCACCTATATAGAGTTAAGAGAAAAGCTAAAGTGGAAATAAAAGTGAGAAACTAATGAAAGTTGATACTGCTTCTTAGAGTTGCTAGAAAATACAGAATACATACAGAAAACACCAGGACTTAGACAGACACCTTTTATTACAGAACACACACACACACAAACCTTTCCTCTTCAAAACCTCAAAGTTGGAAACATGACTATCTCAGGTATATTAATTGTCATGTGTCTACTTTGTTCATAAGAAGAGCCTGTGAGATCATGCCAGCGGTCCATCTAGCCCATCTAATCAGATGCCTGTGGGAAACCCACAAGCAGACCCAAGTACAACAGCTCTCGCCCCTCCTGCAGTTTCCAGCAGTTTCCAGCAACTGGTGTTCAGAAGCATAATGTCTCCTGCCATGGAGATAGAGCATAGACATTGAAAGCCTTGTCCTCCATGAATTTGTTCAGTCCTCTTCTATAGCCATCCAAGCTGATAACCATCACTGCCTCCTGCAGGAATGAGTTCCATAGTTTAACTAGGGGTTGACTAAAGAACCACTGTATTTTATCTATCCTAAGTCTTCCAACATTCAACTTTATTGGATGGCAATGAGTTCTAGTGTTACGAGTGGGGGATAAAAAACAAATTATCTATCCACTTTCTCCATGTTATGCATAATTTTATAAATGTCTATCATGTCACCTCTTACCTTTTATCAAAACTAAACACTCCCAAATGCTTCAACCATTCTTAATAGGGGAGTTGATCCAGCCCCTTGATCATTTTGCTTGCCCATTTTTCTGAACCGTTACCAACTCTACAATAGCTTTTGCAAGGCGAGGCCACCAGAACTATGCATCATATTCCAAATGCAGTCACACTTTTGATTTGTGTAAAGGCATTATGATTCTGGCAGTTTTATTTTAAATCCTTTCTCCTAAGAATCCCGAGCCATTATATATCCATTTCCTAAGCAAAAATCCATTCGATAAAGGAATACGTTAAATGTAAAACAATTGGGAAAGAGCAATAAATAATTCTCATAATTGTCTCATAATTTAATTTAGTGAGCATATGCGTGAAGTGTGTGTGTGTGTGTGTGTGTGTGTGTGTGTCAGTGTCACGCTGTAATGTAGAATAGAACCTTCCTGAAGCCCATTTTCAGGGACTTCTTCACTTCCACGTTTCTCAGGCTGTATATGAGGGGATTGATCATGGGGGTGAAGACTGTGTAGAAGAGAGAGAAGACTTTCTTCATATGTATTAAATCCTTTGACCGAGGGAGCATATAGACAAGCATCAGACTTCCATAATACAAGGCAACCACTGTGAGGTGAGAGGAACAGGTGGAGAAGGCCTTTGTCCTTCCAGTGGTGGATGGGATTCTGAGGATTGTGGCTATGATGGAAATATAGGAGGTTAGGGTGAGGAGGAAGGGAGGTAAGGTGAAAATACAGGTAAATATGAAACCTGATAGTTCAAATAAATGAGTGTCACTACAAGAAATATGTCGTATGCTAGAGCTAACATCACAAAAATAATCATCAATTTCCTTGGGACCACAAAAGGATAACCATGAGAGTGATAAGGTTAAGCTTGTGTTAACCAAAACTCCACTCACCCAAGACACAACATAGTGGAGTGGCTTACAAATTGCCAAGTACCTGTCATAAGACATCATAGCAAGAAGGTAGCATTCAGCACCACCCAGGCAAGAAAAGACAAAAAACTGCAAGAAGCAGGCTTGGACAGATATACTTTCCCCCCCAGTCAGCATGCATGACAACATTTTAGGCAGGATGGTTGAGCTGCTGCAAGATTCCAAGAAGGAGAGGTTCCCTAGGAAGAAGTACATGGGGGTGTGAAGATGTCGATCAGTCACAACCAGTGCAACAATGAGAAGGTTCCCAGCCATGGTCACCAAATAACACAATAAGAAGAGCAGGAAGAAAAGAATTTGTAGTTTAAGTTGATCTCCAAATCCCAAGAGTATGAATTCAGAAATAGTTGTTTGATTTTCCCATACTTTCTTTGCCATGTGTGCTGCATCTGGAGAAAGTAGCACAGAGAGTAAACTTAATGGCTTCACTGTTTTAAAGTGAACTTAAAAGAGTCTCACATTTAAGTAACTTGCCTATATAATGAATAGGTTTTTTATTTGACCATTTCTATAGTCAGACATTACTACTACTACTACTACTACTATTACTATTATGTCTTATTCACACATCTCATTCACACTTCACACAACTAATGTTGCTTAGAAAAGAAAAATACATAAAACACACTGCAGTCCCATTGGTAAAGAAAAAAAGTTTCCTTACTAACAATAACTGCATATTCACAAGGGTGGTTTTGGATTCACAAGGATGGCTTCATATTTTGCTTAGATCTATCTGTAATGGGATCTATTTTGCTTTATCTTATCAAAGTAAAGTTTTCCACTGTTTTTAAAAAGTGCTATTTTATATCAATCTGCAAAAAGGCTTTGAAATATGTGTTCCTGCTTCATCTCCCCCCCCCTCCAGCATTTAGAGTTTCTTCTACCAGAAATTTTCCTACCTCTCTCTGACCCATCAAAAGAGTTCTATTTTTGTTTTACGGATGCCAAGGCCTACATTAATCCACATCATGAAGTTGAAAGTGTCCCCAGACATTTATGATAATGAGCCTTTTACTTGTGGGTAGAAGAAATGCATTTAAAGAAGCAAGTTTTTCCAAGGGGAATAGAGCCCTTTTCCCTCAGCCACTTCCTTTGGGATATGAGCACATAGGGGAGACACAAGGACAATTATTATTATTGTTGTTGAAAAAGATGGTTCCACTTAATTTCAGGTTCCATATCTGATTTCTCTTTATCATGAATATAACTTGTTCTCACAGGAGGCAGGGATAAGACCACCAGCTTGGATGGCTGAAAAGAGGATTAGACAAATTCAAGGAGGAAAAGGCTATTGAGGCTACCAGACATGATGGCTATGCCTCACCGCCACAGCTGGAGACAGCAATGCTTCTGAATATCAGTTGCTGGAACCTGCAGGAGGGGAGAGTGTTCTTGTGACTGTGTCCTCATTGCATGTTTCAGTAGCAAACAGAGCTGTGCACAGCTCCCCAGTCTAACACTGGACCACAGAATGTGTTGACCCAGCAAGAGCCAAACCAGGGACCACCAGCCCAACACCAGATATGTCCCTGGAGACAACTATGGTGTGGCTAATGCTTAGTGAGGGTTTTAAAGCCCTAATTACACATACAGTCGAGAGATGCAACATATCCTTCATCTATCCCAGCTGAGAGCAGGGCCTGGCTTCAGGGAAGGCTTTTGCAAAGCAGCACCCACAGCATGAAACACCCCCTGCTCTTGCTCAGGAGAGGAAGTAGTGTTTCCTGTCCCTCCTTCAGTCTTTTCAAGTGTTGCTTTCCAATAGACTTCCCCTGATTTACCTTGAGAAGCAAAACCCTGAAGTCCACAGAGTTTAATCCTCCACTCAGCAGCTGTGGAGCAGACTGCTGCAGCCTTCCTCCCAGACACCCTGACAGCCCAGGACAGTCTTGATCTGATTCAGCCCTAGTCCAGATTCACCTCCCCCCCCAAAAAAAATAAATATTGCCCAATTTGGTCAGGATGCAGACTTCAGCCAAATGTAGTGCACAGCTGTAGTACAGTGGTGCCTTGCAAGACGAAATTAATTCGTTCCGCGAGTTTTTTCGTCTAGCGAATTTTTCATCTTCCGATGCACGAAATCCCATAGGAATGCATTGAAATTCAATTAATGCGTTCCTATGGTCAAAAAAAAGTCCAAACAAAACCAAATTTGGTACAACAAGAGTTTATTAAGTGCTCTTTAAAGTCACACATACTGTAAAGAGCATTTCAAAAATTGAAGGAACAATAAATTAAGTTTCTAAACATGACAGAAAAACATTTAAAAATCAACAAAGTGTACAGTACATTTTCTAAGACTCTGGGGGACAACTCGAAGAAGGTTCCTCTTCCACTCTTTGCTTCTTGCTGAAGAACCTGTCCATGGTCTGCTGCTTCATCCGCCTTTTCAGCACCTCCCTGAAAGGCGACATGACCCTCGTATCAAAAGTGTTCACAAGGTCATGTGCCACGTGCTTGTCAGGGTGGTGCCGCTGTGCAAAAGCCTGCACATCCTTCCACTTCAGGCAAATGTCCCTCAGTTCTTTGGAGGACAGCCGTTCCTCAGTTGCTTCCTCCTCTTCCAGCGAGGCCTGCTCCTGCGCAGCCTCTGCCTGCAGTTCGACCAGCTCCTGGGTGGTCAGCTCGTGGTTGTGCTCCTCCACCAGCTCGCTGATGTCCTCCTCTGTGACCTCCAGGCCCATGGTCCTCCCCAAGGCAACAATGTCCTGCACCACTGTTGACTCTGGTGCATCAGAGTCACTTGGTGCCACACAGTCCGGCCACAGGCTGCGCCAAGCGCAATTCAAATTTCTCTGGCTGATCCCGTTCCAGGCCGTGGTGATCATCTTCAAGCAGGTGACGATGTCGAAGTGGTCCTTCCAGAATTCCCGCAGGGTGATGGTGGTGCAATCAGTCACCTCGAAGCATCGCCTGAAAAGCTCCTTGGTGTAGAGTTCTTTGAAATTGGCGATGACCTGCTGATCCATCGGCTGGAGCAGTGGCGTGGTGTTAGGCGGCAGGAACATGATGCTGATGAAGCTGAACTCCTCCAACAAGTCCTCCTCAAGGCCTTTAGGACGAGCAGGAGCATTGTCCATCAGAAGCAAAGCCTTCAGCGGCAGGTCGTTGTCCAGCAGGTACTGTTTGACAGCAGGGCCAAAAGCAAGATTGACCCAGTCCACAAACAGCACACGTGTGACCCAAGCCTTACTGTTGGATCGCCACATGACACTCAGCTGCTCCTTGTCGACCTTGTGTTTCTTGAAGGCCCGTGGGTTCTCCGAGTGGTACACCAGCAGGGGCTTGATCTTCAGGTCGCCGCTTGCGTTGGCACAGAAGAGCAGGGTCAGACGGTCCTTCATGGGCTTGTGGCCAGGCAACTTGGCCTCCTCCTGTGTGATGAAAGTCCTTTTGGGCATCCTCTTCCAAAACAGCCCAGTCTCATCGCAGTTGAAGACCTGCTGTGGAACGTAGCCCTCCGTCTTCACAACCTCCAGGAACTCCGCTGCAAAGTCTTCAGCCGCAGAAACATCAGAACTGGCAGCCTCTCCATGCCTGACCACGCTGTGGATTCCAGATCTTGTCTTGAACCGGTCAAACCAGCCTCTGCTTGCCTTGAAGACTTCTGGCTCGCCTGAGGTTCCTGGCTGTTCCCGGACGAGGTCTGCGTGCAAGGCCTTGGCCTTCTCACAAATGACGGCCTCAGTCACTGTGTCCCCTGCACGCTGCTTCTCTTCTAACCAGATGAGCAGCAACTTCTCCACCTCCTCCAGAACAGCTGGGCGGTTCTTCACGATCCTGGTGACTCCCTTGGCTGCATCAGTCGCAAGGATCTTCTCCCTCATCTTCAGGATGGTCCCGATGGTCGATGGATTCCTCCCGTACTCCCTGGCGAGGTCTGTCACACGCATTCCACCGTCGTGCTTCCGGATGATCTCCTTCTTCATTTCCAGCGTAACCTTCACCTTCTTCCCCTCGCCGGCCTCTGCAGCAGCAGTCTTCTTGGGTCCCATGGCAGCACAGCTCCTACCTTCGCAAACCCAAAAAAAAATATCAGTGCTTCACATCCAAAAAATTCAAAAGCACCCAGCCACCCACCACACAGAAATTCAAACCCAGAACGAAGTCCTTGAATTCCAAACAGCCCAACCCAATATCCAAAACCCCCAAAAAAGTTTTAAAAGTTTAACTTACCAAATGGCTGCAAAAGAAGTTTTGGAAAAGCTTCAAAAATCACCAAAGTCTTCAAAAACCTCAAAAAACGCTATCACACCGTGTGCTATGAGTTGCTCCTTGAAGTCAAGTCGCAACTGCACCTCTTCAAGCAATGCACCCTGGGTATTAATGGTTTTAAGAAAAAGGAAACAAACTTGCAAGACATTTTCGTCTTGCGAAGCAAGCCCATAGGGAAATTCGTCTTGCGAAGCAGCTCAAAAAACGCAAAACCCTTTCGTCTAGCGAGTTTTTTGTCTTGCGAGGCATTCGTCTTGCGGGGCACCACTGTAATAAGGTTTAGGGTTCTTTTTAGGCCTAAAGTGGTACTCTCCTATTGTTATAGAATAGTAAATACAGGAAGAAGGGAGAGGGTGACATGATGGAAAGTTCAGGAAGTGTTCCATTGCTGGTGAATTTCCACAGAGCCTCTCCATGCTCTTGGATGTTTGTTTTTTGCAGGTATATTGACAACATGGCATTGATTTAATATTAGTGTGGTCTTTGTGGATTTACAATGGGCTGTACACATATCATTTTTCTTTATTAGTCATTCTTCCCCAATGCTAGTGTACTATTGATGTTCTGGAGGGGCACTTTTGCACTATAATGCAACAAAAGTGGGACAAAAATAAATAAACCCTGCCCTGGAACACACATGCTATGAAAAGTTACAGGATTTTTTCAGAAGGCTATGGGAAATAAATGGATTCAAAACAAGGCATTTATATCTAGCCCAAACCAGTGTTGAATATAACTGCAGATTTGAGTATTACATATAACTGCCCCAATGTGATCATGAGCAGAAAACAACATGAATGCACAAATAAAAGGATGTCTAAATGCAGAGTAGTCAGTGAAGGGAGATGTATCTCTGAAGTTAGTGTTGTGTACAGAGATGGACAAATACCAAATTACGAAATGGATGTATTGAAATAGAGAAAGAAAGAAGATAGGTTAACGACACCACTGCGGGTTTCAATGGTGAGGTCAGGTTTCACATCAAAGTTCACAGGCTTGCACTTTGATATATTCAATATTAAACTGCAAATAAGTGCATTTCTCTGAAATCATCAGTCAGACAGGGTTAGGGATGTAATTTGTATTATTCTCCAGGTTTGTTAACTTTTTTCCTAGGGAATCCTAGAAAGAAATAGAGTCCATTTCACTTCACAGCCATTTCTATTTCATAAACAAATAGCCCTTGTGCTGTGGCATGCTTCACTTTTGGATGATTTTATAATTGCATCTGCAGTGTTTTGTTTGTGCAGAATGTCTGCCTGATGAACCCTTTCTCCCCCCCCCCCAACCTACAGTGTGAGCGTGTGTGAGAGAGGGCGGGAGATGGAGGGAAAGAAACTAAGGTGTCTTCTGCTGTCATAATCGCCATGCTGGTTTTGCCACCTACTACTGCTTCACGTATCTACTTCTTGGGAGGGTATGCAGAGAGAAATAAGCCCAGATGGAACCAGGACTCAAGGTTCTGGGGTCGGGGGTCAGGATAATCACAGCACAATTCATTCAGAGAATAAACTCAACTGCATTTTTAAAAAACAAAACAGGACAATCAATTGATTCTTAATGGAGTAACTTCTGTTGCAATCCTAAGGCAAGGCTGCTAAAAAGAACACGCACACACTGCATATATTTCTTTTCAAATTATTTGGAAAATAAGAGCAGGATATTTTTAAAAAAGCATGTTGTTGCATTAAGGCATTCACTTTGTAGTACATATGTTACTACAGAAATGACACGAATGGAAAACTAGGAAATCTAATCCTTACTGCATTATGTGCACTGCTAAAGGTTACAAAGCTGGAAATTAAACTGCTCACAATACTGTGGAAAAAAATCCATGCATGGAGGGGGACAGTGGTATCATACTTACTCTCACTGCTGCAAACATCACATGTCCCAGATTTTGTTTGTATAGGCGAGTGAAAGAGTGTCAAAAGTCAGATACCAGATACAGATGTACAGAACTGTATTAAAGTGGTACTTTATAGGCATATTATTTTATACAGGTCAGACATCTTAGACAAGTTAGTAGAATGACATCAGGATTCCTAAGAAGTATACAAGAGTCAGGAACAGACTTTGGTCTTTCAAATTTCAGTGGCACTCTGTGCAAGGCCAAAATCTGGCACCCCACCTCTTACCTTCCATTCTGCTCAATTGACTACACCATAGTTGCAATGCCTGTCTCACTGTTCTAAATCTTCCTCTGTGAGAGTCCATGTTCTTCTTCCATAAAATGACAAACTTCTAAGCAAAAATATGCTCTGAAAGGGGCTCAAAACCCCAGAGACATAAAGGAAGGAACAATAAATATTTCAGTATATTTATGAGTACTGTAAATTGTCAGGTCATTTAATCTGCTGTGCAGATTTATATTAATATCATGGTGTGATGTAGAATATAAACCCTCTGAAACCCTTTTTCATGGCCTCTTTCACTTCTGTGTTTCTCAGGCTATATATGAGGGGATTGATCATGGGGGTCAAGACTGTATAGAAGAGAGAGAAGACTTTCTTCATGTGTTTTAAGTCTTTTGACCGAGGGAGCATATAGACAAGCATCAGAGTTCCATAATACAAGGCAACCACTGTGAGGTGAGAGGAACAGGTGGAGAAGGCCTTTTGTCTCCCAGTTCTGGATGGGATTCTGAGGATGGTGGCTATGATGAAGCCATAGGATGATATGGTGAGGAGAAAGGGAGGTAATGTGAACACACAAGTAAATACAAAGGCTGATAGTTCAAAGAAAGTTGTGTCACTACAAGAAATATACCTTACATTAGAGCTAACATCACAAAAATAATCATCGATTTCATTGGGGCCGCAAAAAGATAGCCATGACGCTGATGAAGTTAAAATTGTGCCAACAAAAAATCCACTAGCCCAAGACACAACAGATAATTGGAAGCTCACTCTGCCATTCATAAGAACAACATAATCGAGTGGTTTACAAATGGCTAAGTACCTGTCATAAGACATCATGGCTAGGAGATAGCATTCAGTTCCAGCCAGAGAAGAAAAGATGAAAAATTGCAAAAAACAGGCTTTTATAGATATACTTTCCCCCCCAGCCAGGATGCTTGACAACATTTTAGGCAGGATTGTTGAACTATAGCAACATTCCAAGAAGGAAAGGTTTCCCAGGAAGAAGTACATGGGAGTGTGAAGATGTCGATAGGTCACAACCAACACAACAATGAGAAGGTTCCCAGCCATGGTCACCACGTAGATCACCAAGAACGGCAGGAAAAGAAGAACTTGTAGTTTAGGTAGATCCCCAAATCCCAAGAGTATGAATTCAAAAACTCTTGTTTGATTTTGCGATACTTTCTTTGCCATGTGCGCTGAATCTGAGGGGGGGGGGACAGAATAATGCAGTTCATGTCTTCGTTGTTTCAAAGAACAAAAGGAAAGAAAGAGACTCACATTCACCTAAACTACCTGCACAATAAGTAGAATTCTTATATGAACAATACCTAATGTAACCATTTTAATGGTTTATGTGAATGTTTCTTGCAAAATGTTAAAGAAGTATACTTAAGAAAGTAGGCTTCAGATTTTCAGCAAGATGTTTCACTCAGTGATGGAGAACTGTTGTTTGACTATAATTTTCATTATCCCTAATCCTTGTCCATGATGGCTGGAGCAGAAAGGAGATGCTGTTCCACAACATTCTGGCACCAATAGGATTGTAAACCCAATGGGAGCAATGAGAAATAAGAAAGAAGCATGCTTGGAGAAATCCAGAGGGTTACTTGAGTACAAATAGGTATTAAACAAACAAACAAACAAACAACTCTTGAAGAATTTTCTTCCAAAAACACAAAACAGCTTGCTAGGTACTGACACAATTTATAGCTATGAAATGTACAGCAGCAGTTTGAAAAGAAAAATGGAACATGGATAGGGGGTGGATAGTGGAATTCCCTGCTTAGAGAGAATGTTTAGATGGAATTGTGAACAGGAGCATTTGTTTTAGGAGGAAGGATAAACCACAACATTTTTTGCAAGTCATATAAGATAATATTTCTAAGTGGTAGATCACATGCTATAAGTGTTTAAAATTAGGGTGTCCCCTCCGCTGAATCCATCTATAATGGGATCTAACATTATTTCTTGACCTTATCAAAAACATGTTGCTAGTTTTATCTGGAAATAACTGTTTCATTTTCACATTTTGAAAAATGCTCCCATCCCCCCCCCCGCCTTTAGAGTTTCTTCTAACAACGATTTGCTTACCTCTCTCTTCCTCTTTGAAAGAGTTCTGTTTCATGGATACCAAGGTCTGCATTAGTCCAAAATAAGGTGACTATTTATATAGAATTGTTTATATCCTGCATCATGAAGTTGAAAGTGTCCCCAGACATTTATGATAATGATCCTTTTATATATGGGGAAAGGAAAGGCACTTAAGGGAGCAAGATTTTCCAAGGGGAGTATGGCACTTTCCCTTCAACTGCAATAACTTCCTTTGGGCTAAAGCAAATAGAATGTCCCTATTTTCATGCGGAATATTGGAGCAGTCTCATTACTACCTGATGCCGTTTCCCACTCCCAGGATCTCTCTCCCCTCTCAACACCTGTTGACAGAAGAGAGTGATATATCAGCATGAGGGTGGTAAAGAGAATTGCCCCTGCTCCTTGTGGGTCATCACCCCCATGCAAGATCTTCCTCCATTGACCTTATCTATATATTTAATAAGAGTTTTAAACCCTTAATTAAACATGAGCCCCACTCCCAAACTTCTTCAGGAATGGATACTGAGGGGGAGGAGTGATGGTCCTCAGATTGACCCACACGGTGGGTAGGGTTGCCATATTTCAAAAAGTCAAAATCCAGACACAATTGTTGAGCTTTTTCTATATATATACAGTGGTACCTCGGGTTACATACGCTTCAGGTTACATACGCTTCAGGTTACAGACTCTGCTAACCCAGAAATAGTGCTTCAGGTTAAGAACTTTGCTTCAGGATGAGAACAGAAATCGTGCTCCGGCGGCGCGGCGGCAGCAGGAGGCACCTTTAGCTAAAGTGGTGCTTCAGATTAAGAACAGACCTCCGGAACGAATTAAGTACTTAACCTGAGGTACCACTGTATCTCTCTCTCTCTCTCTCTCTCTCTCTCTCTCTCTCTCTCTCTCTCTAGCTCTCTCTCTCTACCTCTATCTCTATCTCTATCTCTATATATCTATAAAATTCCCAAAGTGGCTGAGCCACTTTTTTTGGAAAATCCAATCAATTCCACCACTGAAATCCCAGTAATTTCAGTAACGGCACCCTAACAGTGGGACAACCTGATGTCTCCTAGATTGGAGCTAAGGGTGCTGTGCACAGTCCTAGTCTTTACATAATAATATCATCATTGTTTCCTTTCATATTGGCTCTTAAAGCAGATATGCTTTATCCCTTCAAGGACTCTGTGGGGTTGGGGTGAAGCCTCCATCTGCCTGAATCTTAACTATGTCCATACCATCAACTGTCCCAGAAAAACCAGAACATAGCATTTTTTGTGCAAAAGCGCAGTGGCCATTTTGCCCACAGAGATCTCACCCCACAAAAGTGTTTTTTTGGGGGTTACGGTTTCACGTGGGTCACTTCACTTGCCCAGGAGCACTGCACAGAAGACACACAGCCCAGTTTCTGGCCTGGACATGTTGGAGGATATGCATGTCTACTAATGGGGTTTACTCCCAGGTAAGCCTTTGAGCATACTGTGCCACTCTTCAGTACAGTGCATAACTATTGTGTGGGCCTCCTCCCGTTGTGTGACATCACATACAGGCTGCCTGGCCCCCACCCAATGTTGGGTGGAACCCAGAGCGCCTGCTTCTATTCACCATATGGGAACAGTGATCTTTTCCTCACTGTCCATGAGCAATTGGGTAATGTGGGCGTAACTCCTGGGAATTGGTGGG